GGAATGCCTGACCTTGAAAAGAGAGTATGAAACCTATTTCTTAATATATCTCAAAGCCAGATTTCTATTTAAAAAGAGCAGGATTATTAAAGCGCAGGATGTTCCTAAAATTCCCTATATCAAATACTGCCAACATCTATATTGTTATTTATTGCATGTCTTACAAACATGTAAGATGTCATCTGCAGCAAGTATGAATTGTAAAAAGACAGTGTTAGTACCTGACTTTACATGAACCATCTATGTGTTCCCCTTTGTGGGGAAAGGGCAGGAAAAACCTCTAAATAGGTGGGTAAAGGAGGATTCTCCCTCTCCTTTCTAACTGAGTGATAGCTTTGTCTCCATTACACAGTGCATGCAGCCACTGCTAAGGCAGGTGGGCAGAATGGCCCTTTCCCTGGCTGCACAATCAGGAGCTGGAATAGTAAAAGCAAGAGAGTACAAGACTGAGGGACGTGCAAGGGTGTAGGGCAAAGTAGCAAGTCCGTGGGGCAGTCTGTTGGGAAAGGGGAAGAGTGGGGAGCTGTCACAACGTCCTAAGGACTGCAGGACCAGAGGAGTACAAAATTTTGCTGCCTGTGAACAAACAAGAGGGAGCAAATACAAATGTTGAGCAAAAATTTGTCGAGGGCTTGCAGATTTGGTATCTATCTAAGGTAGAATTTCACTTTCAGAGAAATGAATTCATGGCCATTGAATCTTGGAATAAGCAATACTTCTCTTCAAGTTTGGGAGATCAAAAGTAAAAGAAATCACAACAGATACTGTGCATGATTGTGTGTGGTGAGTCACATTAGCTCACTTTGTAATATGCAAGTCAGGAGAAGAGAATTGACAGAACAGGGAAGAACCAGAGGAAAAAGCAGGCTGAGATTGAGGAAGGAAAGTGAGATGCTATTTCTCACAGATTTAAATGTTTAATACCTAATATATATTTTAAGCATATAAAACATTAGGATAACATTTCTAGAAGTGCTCTGCTTACAAGTGGACATAGAAAAGAGTTTATTTCCAGTTCAGGCCCATAATTGAATTAGTTCAGCTACTTAAAAGCTCAGCCAAGCTCAGCAAACTGACATGTCTCTTGAAAATCTGCTCAAATCATGTGTCATCAACAATTTTTTAAAATGTCTTTTGAAAATATGTTCAGTAAGCATAAAAATATTATTTCTATACCAAAAGCACACATGCATTCACCACTATTTCTTGGGAAATCTAGAAGCTGACAATATGACAACAGTCAAAAAGCAAACATTTGAAATTCTCCACAATACAAAAGTCTCTCTTTTAAAATATATTTTTCCTATTCATAAAACAAAAATACTAGCATCAGTATTATTTTATTTATGTGTACCTAAGGTTCCATTGACACATTTTATAATAAGTTGGCAAGTTTCAGACCAATAGGCTATTTCATGATCCCTATCAATTCTCATGCTCACACAATACAGAATAAATCCTTTCCTAGCATTCAGAAGACTGTGTTATCAAATTTGTATTCATTCTTCAGTCAACTTATGAGTCCATATAATACATACTGTCTGAGAATACATACTTTTCTAAGGAGCTCATGATGAATTCTGAAGTTCATCTGCAGCAGATTTCCGAAGAAAGGATATGGAATTGGACCAGGAGGAAGTCTTCTTCGTAGCCATTGCAGTTTCAGAAACTGCAGAAAGGCCAGGGACACAACAAAAAGTATGAGTGTCACACTTGCTGCTAACATTTTACTTTTGATGGATTCAGGAGACTACTTTGTGTCTGAAGAACTTCTGTTTGCGTAGAGGACAAATCCAGTTTATCTTACTTTGCTGGTACCTCCCAAAAAGAAAAAAAAAAAAAAAGTTGTTTGAGCTTCTGTGTCACTCAGCCCTTTCCTTTGCATCACTTCCTTACGCTTTCTGATCCCAAAGAATGAAGCGTCAGCACTTATTTTTAAGCATATATGACATTAACCTATTACATTGCAGCTACAAATCTGACAGGTGTGGCCTTTGAGGGGGGGCAAAATGGAGGTTAATTATATGTCTCTATGTCCAGTGACCAAAATCCCTGCCCACGGTGCTGGCTTCATGAGGAGCCTCTTGCAAGAAGAGAGAAATCTGGAAAACTTTCCTGAGGGTTGGTTACATGCCTAAGCACTGCAGGCTGAGTGAAAAGTTGACGCACGTCATTCCTGTGCAAAGCCTGTATCAGCCATGCACTCTGCTCCTGCACTCACCTCATGGTATTGCTCCATTCCTGTGTTTTCTCCTATTCCTTTTGGATGGTTTAAATTTTAAGGTCTTCAGGAGATGGTCAGACCTTTTAACTTCATGTCTCGAGTATATGAAACAATACAAAAAAAATAGTCCTCAATCTGTCATTGGGTGAAAACTTGACAGTTATAATGGCACAACATGCAAGTGTCCACACTCTTTAGCCGCACATAGGTGGGGCTGCAAGACCTTCATGAACAGGAAGAAAGGGGTATTTCTTCACCCCCTTCAACTGCCTCCCAGCTAATTCCCACTGCATTGCCTGCAGCCGGACTAAA